GATTTCTGCTTGCACATTCTCGAGAATTTCGATAGCCGGGAAATCGAACAATCGAGTTCTCGACACAATCTCGGGCGATCGGCGATACGAGAGTGGCATTCTCCCGAGCGATTTCCAGTAGTTCCCGAGACATGTGTATATATGTATTAGGCTTGGGTAGTTCTTGAACTAAATGAACTAAATGAACTAGTTCATCTCAGCTTTAAAGATTTTTTTTAGGGGGAAGGGAAAATATTAAACTGGCTTACAACGCTTTTAAAATCAAACTGGCTTTCTAATTAAACACACACAAATGTATGCTTATACTCCTTGAACTTTTTTAAAAGTTTTTGTTTTATGTACGAACTCGTTTATTTTTATTTTATTTATACGAAAACTCCCAAAATAACGTAAGCGACATTTTTTTTTTTAATTTCTTTTTGATGTCGAAATGCACCCTGATGCTTTAGGAATATTTCTGCATTAAAAAGAAAATGTTGAAATAAATGTCGCTTACGTTATTTTGGCGGTTAGGGTTCGATATTTATGTACGTTTTTTATGAATGTAAACTCAAATTACCAAAGTTTTTGTTTTGTATGTAATATGTATGAATATGAGTGGAAGATCGACCAATCTTAGCAGCCAGTTCGAAAATGCCCTATCTCAGAAACCTTTTCAAGAATGCCGTATTGCAGAATTTAGTTTACAAACGCCCTATCTCAACTGAAAATATTTTGAAAATTTGTAATGTGTTGATCTTCCACAAAGGTGTCGATATGTAAGTGTATTCGTAAATTGAACTAAATGAACTAATGAACTAGTTCATTAAGGTCAGCGAACTGCACATAAAAAAACTAAAGTTCCCAACTCTAGTATGTATGTAAGAGCTCATTGAAAGTACATACATACACATAAAAAATTCAAAAGAAAGAATTGCGTACATAAGGACATTCGCAGCAAACAAACATTTTGAGCATGTACACTAGGGCGGGTCAATTTGTAGGGCAGATTTTGTACAGGATTCTACGAAATTCCGAACATTCGAATTTTGCTGTAGTGTGGTAAGGAAGTGCTTAAATTTCGTACTAAAACGTGCTATAAGGGGTTTTTGGTACGAGGAATCCATCTATGCACTTACCTTTGTTAAAAAATCCACCAGAGGGTGCTAAGGTGAAAATTTTTACATTTTCTTCAAAACCTCTTTTCGCAATTTAGACCCATGTTTTTTCTGCAAATATGTTTGGAATTACACGTGGAATCCTCCTACGCTATACGCGTATAGTAAAAAAATATTGACCCGCCCTAATGTACACCCTCGAATATTAGGATTGGTTACGTACAACAAAACATGAAAAAAAGGGTTCTAACGAAAAACCCCCTTAGAGAAATAAAGAACACAAGGCATAAGAGTTACGATAGAAATTCGACTGTTTTTTTTAAATTTATTTCCGTTACAGTTTGATGGCTGAAAGTTTCTCTAGGAACCATTATTTTTTGTTAAAACTCTTTGATATTCAGACTAATGGCCCAATGCTGAAGTATTTTTCAACTAATTTTGAAACCTTG